TGGTGATCATTTCTGTAAAAAGGTTGTAAAATTCGACTTCAAATAACCAAGTTATGGGCCGGACACGATTTTTGTCCAAGGTCATGCTGTAACCTTTACCTTAAAGGTAGCAACCTAAATGATGCGCGCGACACGTCCTCTCAATATGGTGATCATTTTTGTAAAAAAGTTGTAAAATAGAGAAAAACAGAATCCCTAAAGAAAGTCCAACACAACAAAATTGAAAATGTTGCAGGCTCGGTTTGATTGAGCCTGTTCAAGGACGATACTGGAAAGTGCAAGTTACCGTCCACGCCCCCTAGCAGTCCGACTTCAAATGTGCAAGTTATTGGCCGGACACCACTTTGCTTCAAGGTCATGCTGTGAACTTGACCTTTAGGGTAGTGACCCAAATGTTGCGCGCGACACGTCATCTCAATATGGTGATCATTTTTTGTGAAATAGTTGTATAATCCGACCTCAAATAACCAAGTTATGGGCCGGACACGATTTATGTTCAAGGTTATGCTGTGACCTTGATCTTCAAGGTAGCGACCCAAATTTTGCGCGCGACACGTCGTCTTAATATGGTGATTATTTCCGTGAAAAAGTTTTACAATCCGACTTCAAATAACCAAGTTATGGGCCGGACACGATTTTTGTTCAAGGTCATGCTGTGACCTTGACCTTTAAGGTAGTGACCCATATGTTGCGCGCGACACGTCGTCTTAATATGGTGATCATTTTTTGAAAAAGTTTTAAAATCCGACTTCAAAAAACGAAGTTATTGGCCGGACACGATTTTGCTTTGAGGTCGTGCTGTTACCTTGACCTTCAAGGTAGCGACCTAAATTTGCGCGCGACACGTCGTCTCAATATGGTGATCATTTTTGTGAAATAGTTTTAAAATCCGTCTTCAAATAACAAAGTTGTTGGCCGGACACGAATTCGGGACGTACGTACGTACGGACTGACGGACGGACGGACAACCCGGCGACTATATGCTCCCCCGAAATGTTTCGGGGAGCATAAAAAACAGGAGCGTCAACTGCATATCTTATCAGTGTTGTATCAATAGCATCCTGATAATTTATATGATCAGGGTGGTATAGAATTGCTAAGAATATTTAAAACTTAACACCTGAACATCATTATAAAAACATTTTTATTTTCGTCACATAAACACAATTTATGTAATATGCCGCCGAATTAGAAATGATGATTTCGACTAAATTTGAGTGTCACAAAATGTTGCAAAAACCACCCATCTCGTGGAGCTAAGAGATGCATAGACATAAGTTTTTTAACAATTTTAGTCGCCTCGTACGACAACGCATGGATACACGATGGTTGCAATGATGTGTCAACCTTTAAAGGCAACCATCAAGCACAAATTGAATATGTCATTTTAACTGAGTTAATAGAAATAACTGGTGTTGGAATTTGACCCAATGAAATTAATCAAAATTATTTAACTCAGAGATTCTTTGTACCTATCTTAATATAATTCTTACTAGTACATAGCTTTGGGTATCAAAATTTCTTGTGAAACAATTCCTAACCTTTTATTGTAATACATTTATAAATTGTTCGTTTTATGAAAAATATTGGACACAAGATGTTTATGTAATGAGGTAATTTAACATCATATTATATTCTACTTGACAATTGACCATTTGACTTCTGACCACTTGATCACTGGTCCAAATTGAACTGACTTAAATAAAAATATAATATTATTATTTAAACCATCACCACATCAAAGACATTTCTAAAAAAAACAAAAGTAATATTTTACAAATGAATATAGCAACCATTTCAATATATTTAATATGACAATCACTTTATAGATAGCAGAATATGGTTTTCAGTAAATCCTTCAAATTTCGACTATCAAGCATGTAGCTCTTCGATATTTTTCTTGTATTCGAGATTTAATAACAAAACCATTGGCAGTGTATTTGATGTTTATAGTTATGTTATCCTACGATATATGGATATTTGGTCTTTTCCTAAGAATTTATCATGACAATGGCGCTAGACAGGATGAATGAAATACGATTACACAAAAAGAAAATAACGTTTTCATGCATACCTCATTGTTAAAATAGCTTTGGACAAGTTTTGTTTTGGCTTACAAAAAACGATACGGAAGCTACTTGTTCTTATAGTCAGAATTAAAATGAAAAATGCAAGACTTGCTTTTTTCATAACTTTAAATTATTTATTTCTGCATGCCTTTGGAAAAAGGGTTTCTTGAGCGTTTATTATTTTTAAACATCATCCTGAACTTCCTCTTGCCTCCAAATTAAAATCCTAAAATTGTTGAACCAAATTGCTTTCTGAGGTAAATCGAAAGCCAAAATTGTTCAAATTGCAGGAGGGTCAAAAGAAATTCATAAAATAGAGAATAAAGAATCAATGAAAACTCCCAAACGACAAAATTGTAAATATTGAAGGTTTGGTTTGTTTGAGCCTGTTGATGGACGATTCCTGAAAGCGCAAGTTACCGTTCACATCCACTAGCACCGGCTTCAGCAGAATTCAACATAATAACACGAAAAAGTGAAATGTTGAATTTTGTTACATCCTTAGATGCGTTCATACTTAGGTTATTAGGTTATAATGAAACATTCAATGTGACACTTTCGTGCAATTCGATGAAAAGTAAAATAATGCATGTGCACTAAACAAGAAAATAATGTGACCTAAACAAAATGTAATTTGAAAGGGGACCAGATCTTACGATGCCTGCATATCACTGATGAGACATCAAAAGATACAATTAAAAACCAGAAACCATATCCTATGGGTGATGATAAATATTCAAATAGGAATACTAGGACCACCTAAGTTGTGAAAGGTCAAATCGAAGAAACTTAGAAACCACAAAAATCTACATACAACAATAATGTAGTGTTAAACAATCTTCAAGTATCGAAAATATTACGATGCAACAATGATTAATACACCATGGTACCATGATTAAAACACAACGAACTGATGGTGTAGCTCAGATATTATAATCAAGATGAAAAGACGTTAAAGCCGTGATACTGCGAACATAGAAACGCATATTATTACTTGCAGTTTCACCTTAACATGTCTCAAAAAACATTCTTTACATATTTTGAGCTACTTTTTATCCAGTTATTTATTTCCTTTTCATTCAATCTTCTTAACCCCATTTTCCTTTGGTGAACAAATAGTACGCTTGATCTATTAATCAAATTTATTTTATGCTTTTGAGTGGAATACCCATTTATAAATAAAAATAATATTTGATAATTTCACAGTGAAAATCATCAAAATATAATTTCACACTTTCAATGTATGGACTACTTTATTTAAAAAATTCCCCATGTGGTGCCCCATTACTTCCCTTTATTATTTACACGTTACTTCCCTTAGATTATTTACAAACAATCATTTTGACGTCTGCACATCTGTCAAACTACCTACAATGGAGGACTGTCAAATAGATCCGGAAATTTTAACAGCAATAACAGATAATTTCTTTGACACTGAACCATATGGAGACTTTCAAATTATAGAAAAAGGTGATAGATTGTTCAGAAAAGTAAACCCAGATGAATTTTTGATAGAAAATGAAAATGAAAATACAAGAAAGAAAACAGTTTCTGACATGAAACTTGTGAATGCTTTTTTTCAATTCAAAAAATGAGGCTAGACTACCTGAATTCATTCCACCAGACCAACTAAATGATTATTTATGTGACTTTATTCTTACTGTAACAAGAAAGACGGCTCTGAATATGAGCCTACAACATTAAGAGGGTTTATAGGGTCTGTTGACAGGCATTTAAAAGCAGCAGAAAGCACAGTAAGCATATTTAAAGATAAGGAATTTGCAAAAACAAGAGCAATTTTGAAAAGAAAGCAGCAACAACTGAAGAAGTTAGGGCTTGGATGTAAACCTCATGCAGCTCTTTATGGTTCATCTGTACGTCTCACTTTGGAATGAGGACAGGGAAGGAGATTCACCAACTGTGTTGGGGAGATATCAATATTGGGCTGGATGAGGCAAGTGGCAGCGAATTCATTTCATTTACAACTGAACGCCAAACAAAGACTCGCTCTGGAGACAATCCAAGAGACACTAGATACTCTATGTTTTTAAAGTAAAGAAACATTTTATGAACCTTTTGAAGTTATTATTTGTTCATTTCTAACAAATTGCAATAATATCAAATGTTATCAGGCCCAAGAAAAAAGATTATGTATCTTAAAAAAGAGCTGTCGGTAGAACAGCAACGCTCGACTTACTATTCTCAGCGCTTGATAATATATACAAGATAATGTTGAATTTTCTAAGTTTACAAAAGGACAAAATTTTTCTTTAAATCCATGTTACAGTTATAGGTCTTGGAGTGAGTCTTATTATGCTCTGAAAGAAGAGTATAAAATTTCAACTTGTTTCAAAACCAGATGTCAATAGAATATAAAAATATCTGAGGTGGTAAGCAAACTTGAATGTAAATTCTATCTTGAAAAAGGGGCATTTTTCTGTCAAAATGTTTCATAGAGTTACCTCCTCCTGTCTACAGGCTAGGGTCATGTTGGTAAACAAGTGTGCAAAGTTTCAAAGCCATATGTCAATAGACTTTGAAAGTACTCGAGTTATTACAAAAACTATAACGTAAATTCTAAGTTGAAAAAGGGGCATAATTCTGTCAAAATGCCACTCGTGAGAATACTGTTTTTAAAGCCCACTCGATGAAATAGAATTTCATCTTACACACAAACAAACAAATATCCTCTATATATTTGTGTAGATTCAATACTTAATTTATTGAACTCGTTAAATAAAACAATGTTATACGCCAGAGGCTTGCATAATTAATATGATTTTATTCAACTTGTTCAATAAATATAGTATGTAACCTACACTCATTCAATACCCTCTATATAAACATGTATACAGTACAGTATATATAGAGACTTCTATTAATTCTGAATGTACATTTCCATTTAAACATGCATGTCTTGTAACAACATCTATGACTAATAATCATTTCATTTTCAGGGCTATTAAACCAAGGGCATATGCCATTACCGAAGATCCAGAAAAAGACCCAGTCCACATTTACCGGACATATGAAAGTAAAAGGCCAATAGAAATGTGTAAGGATGACAGCCCATTCTTCCTGAGCCCAGGCAGCAAAACACACAAATGTTGGTTTAAAAAGTGCCCTATGGGAATGAATGCTATTTATGGCATTATGAACGAGATGAAAGCAGAATCTGGCATTGAAAACCCAAGAATAACACCATACAGGTTTATATTATATTGAATTATTTAAATCATATGAATTTAACTCACCACAAAGTGACTTTTAAGTCTATTTAATGTTGCTAATAAATGCTAAATAGAATGAATATCATAATTTTTATAATAATTCAGCTACCATGCAACTTCAATTTCAAGAGTGCGAAACTTTGTAACATACCATAAAATTCCTATTTAACACCCAGGCCATCCTTAAAAAATGTTTGTTTGAAGTAAAACGACCCAGAATTTTCAAGGTGGGTAGGTAGGTCGATTTTTTTTATTTTTTTTTTATTGAACTGTACTCCCAAATAAACATGGAATTTCAAAATGCTGGACAGTATATGCTTTGATAATCTGGTAACAATTAATGAATTGATAACTGAATTCTAATTTAATAAGAACTACTTTTTATTTCTTCTATTAACCTTTAAAAGAACGAAAACAAAGCACAGGGCATAATTTTCTGATTCAAAAAAAAATAATTTTTTTACCAAGACCAAGAAAAAAAATTTGAGTATGGGCAAATTTTGTGAGTCGGTCGCGTTACTGCAAACAAACATTTTTTTAAGGATGGCCCCATCCACTTATAAAGCTTTGATTTTTTGATAAGGAGAAAATTTACTCACCAGTGCTAAACTCAGTAGTAAATCAATGATTTTATTCAAATCCTTCAGAATCCATTTATTTTATAGTAAACCAAAAAATGTATCATATAAACTTATAAACTTTAACACTTCTTAATGTGATGAACACCAGACCATATTTATTTAAATGATAGGCCCCCGTGGGAGTTTAATAGGAAATTTAGGGTATTACAAAGAATCACATGTTATCCAATATTTTTTTTTGCTTTACAAAAACCTTTAGGCAGAACTTTTTCTATGTAATAAAAAATTTCTAAACGTCTAGATCTATATTGACATGAAAAAAGGACTTATGATTTCATAAAATACTCCAGTTTAAAATATAACTGATACACTCTGTTTATAAATTATGAAATAAGGATGTTATTTCAAACATTAATTTTCCTATTTAAACTGTAGTATAAAATATTTTATAAAAAAATCCAAAATTTTCCAAACCCTTTTCAGCTCAAGAAAAAGGATGATACAGAAGTTAAGTGATGAAGGAGTTCCTGCTAATCAGATTATGCAGATTTCTGGCCATAAAAACATCAACAGCATCAACAACTACAGTAAATTAAACCCGAACCAAAATCGTCAAATATCTGACATACTGTCAAATAAACCAAGCAGCACAGTTTCATCATACCAGTCAACCGTAGAACAAGCTGAAACAACTAGAAATCTTGAAAAATCATGGGCTTTTCAATCAAATGGTTTCCCGCAGGGCTTCTTCACTAACTCAATATACATGGTAACGAAATTATTAATATGGGGAAAAGAACAGAAAGTCAGCAACTTTCTCAGACAAACAACCTACAAATATCCTGTGAGCAACCTAGTTCATCACATTTATATCAAGATTCCCCTCCATTGGCATTCCATAAGCAAAGGCTTTATAAACGCATCAGATGCATTTCAGACAGCGACAGTGACTAAATGATGTAAATTCAATGAACAATGCAACTTAAAAAGGTTACTTTTGAAATAAATGAACGTGTTAAATGTTCCAAAGTGTTTCCTGTTAACTTTTTCTGAATATTTAAAACATATTATACATGTTGGACTCACCGACTCAGGGACTTACAGTGCAAAGCAGCACTTGACATTTTTTTACATTGTATAAATGAGAAAAAAATGTTACAATGTTACTGACTTACATTTACTATTGCAAAAAGTAAAAGATATTTGCTTAGTTCAATTTATAAAAGTTTATAAATGTATAACAAATTTGTTTTGTTACTAATTAAAATGTTGATAAAGAGTGATTAAAGGTTAGAAACTTATGAAACGACAACTTATTTTTTGGTAATTTTCCTTTCCATCATTAAAGAATCCCTCAGGTTTCATTTCAATTTAAACAAATACAGACACTTGTATATTTTTCATATTAAAATTAAACCTTCATGCTTTCTCCTATACTTTCTCAATTTATAAATAAGTTAGTTGACATAAAATCATTAATGTGATTAATATTACTTTTATAAATTTAATATGAAATGGTATTTTATCACTTAAACATTTTTTTTATTCATTTATAGCTTAGAAATGAATTTAATAAGAAAAATAATTATCATACTTTTCATTTAATTTTCATTAGAATTTTACCTTCAAAAACTTAAAAGTTATGAATATTTACACAAATTTTAAGCTTTATATTCAATGAAAAATTTCATATTTAAATCTTTTTAAAACCTTCCTGACCCTGTTGAGTTGGTATATGAGCGATGAATAACAGAAGATCCGGAAAAAGACCACTTAACTTAAATGTGCCATCTAGACACACGTTAGTTTTATAGTCTTGGATATAAATAAAATATTATCAAAAATTCCGTAATATGGGGAAGTCAAATGCCGGGACCGGTCTTTGGCCTATAGTACATGTACATGTATAGACTAGATGTGTATATTTAAAAGAAAATCAAATAAAAAAAGATAAATAATCAGGGATTTTTTCCAGGATTTTGGGAACATGACCCATACCTATGGAATGGGGAAATTCAGCAGTGTTTAGTTAAAAATTGGAAAAAATGCATGACTGAAATTTTGCAGTGATTAAATGTCTTATATGAATGCGCAACCATTTACTGTCCATGATGGCATCTTCAAACATTTAAGCACTATTACAGTGAAGAAACCGTTATTTGCAAAGATTTTAGAATTGTTCTTAAATATTTTTATTTTGTAATTTTCAATAATAATTATTGTGAATATTTTCCTGTGGATTGGGAAAATAATATACTATTTTCAATTGGGAAAATGACCCAATAACGGCTGTAAAATAACACAAAAAAAATCCCTGCAATTAAAAAAACATATACAATGTATAATTCTATACCTAACAATGAAATTTTCAGTGTCCTGGGAGGCGCCATTTACAATATAAGTAAATGACAATAGGTGGTGGTATTCCGACAAAAGAACACTCAACTTTTAGGATTAATAGTAATCTCCGCATGTTCCGGTGACCGAATACTGAAATGACCCATTCAAAACAGAAAAATGAACGATTTTTTTAACCAGCTTCCCGTTCATAGGCTTTGCCTAATTTCATATGATACAGAGGATATTAATTTTGTTCAGTTCATTGTAAGAACGGGATTATATTTCACCAAGAGGTATATTTCACGGGTGGCGCAGCCACAAGTGTAATATGAACTTTTGGTGTTCACGAGATGAAATATATTTCGATCATACACTAAATTAAAGTACATTGTAAAACAAATTTTCTTTTTATTATATGCAAATAAATGTTTCAAAAAGACATTTTAAGCTAATACTTATTAATGGAAAACAAGCCCCAAATAATAATAAAACTTGACCTCATTTACGACATCACATCATTTAGTTGGTTTCCAGTACTGTGTACACTAGGTATTTCATTTAAACAAGGTAACAGGCTTAAATTCAAAACAGTGAAAAATTTCAATTGATAATTTCACTATTTCAGACAGTAAATTATTGTTTTTATTTCACTGATGTTATGTTATTTTAACAACACAAAATAAAATACGCATTTTCATATAATTTTGAAAAGTGCCGTATGGCTAGACAATACAGCATATACAGTGTGTCTTTGCTAGCTTTTAATACATGACTCACATACGGCTAGTAGTTTTGGCTACAGTAGCCGTACGGGCCCGTACGGCTAGCCACTTCCATTCTATAAACCACCGAAAACATGTATTAAAATTACTTTATACGGTACCTCATACATGTACGATAAATTAATCCTTTTGATTCTTTGAATTTAATTCTGATGAAGAATCAATCAGATATGTTCGAAACTGGTAGATCTTAATTAAAACATTGTCCATATTTATCCGGTATTGATGTGTGGTTTCTTTACATTCTTCCGTTTTAACCAATTTAAGATAAAACTTCCCGGCACTTCCAGACACTTAATCAGTTTATCTCCTCCGGACAAAAATATTAACTAAAACACTATGAATATCATATGAACAGATAAATATGAGCCAATCTGACTCAAGCTGAACGTGTATGGAGTTGACTCAGGGCAGATTTATTTGAAATTCAATGGTTGGTCATGCCCTGATTCAATGCTGTTAATTATTACTTTAAGCCAAACTACTAGATCTACAAGAATAATATCATGGCAGAATTTGAATATCTTAAAATAACACATGGTTATTAATTTATATTAATTCAAACAAACTTACCATGTTATGAGTAGTCTAGAGTTGTATCCTTTTACGGTTTCACACACTTTAATATACAATCCCAGCTTGAATACTAGCACTGTCTGACTTGCACAGAATTTGTTGAATTTAGGTATATTTATGTACAACCAAACAAAAACTGAAATGGACAATTCATTCACAAAACAGTATATTGTTCGGCAAGTAAACAAATACCCCATCTTTTTATTCAGTGCAATATTTGATGACAATATTTTACATGTTTTAGTCAAAATGATCCAATATCCGAATTAATGCACAGTTTCACGAAGATAAAAATCAATCAAATTTCGGGAAATTATTAGTCACTACCAACCAATTCTAATAAAATCAATGTATCCGTATGTCGTGAAACAAATTAAATTCCATGATTAATAGAATACGAGGGCTGATCAAAAATAAACAGGATTGTGACTGTCAATTGAAGAGTTTTCAACCTATCACTTATTGTTATATATCACACTTAATCGTAAAACAATACCTGTAAACTGATGCTATATCTAATCTGATAACGCAAATAGTTTGTCCGTAACAGCGAATTCAAAAACCATGGTAACGCACACCCGGCGCAGTGCGTAAATTTGCGTTGTCATCCGGCGCTTAATGCTGCGTATATTTTACAATATGGTTAAATTGGATTTCAAAATACGCCAACCATATCTTTGACGTGTCAGAAAAAAATGACTTCATTTAAATCATATTTATATTTGCAATCACAATTCAAAGGTCACTTGTTAAAAAAATACTCACGTTAAAACTATGTCGTTGGAACGTCTCGGAAATCGATCAATAAGAAAAGTTTGTCAAAAGTAAGGCGAAAAAATGTTTAAAACGTAGAAAAGGATTATGACTAATAAGAGAAAAGTTCCAGTAAGCCACGGCATAGTTTGTGATAAGCATAAATGATTAAGAAAGGGTAATAGAAAAATAGATAACAAGTAACGGAGAAACAGAAAAATGAAATTTTCAAGGACGTTGGTGACGTCAATCGCCGAGACGTTGAAAACTGACAATCGATTGACTGCGGACATTGTCGGTGATGTTCGACAGTAGCTACGGGACGGTGCAGTCATCTCTAAGGATTTTAAAATGATAATTGTTAATGCATTATGTACATAAATTGTATTCTTGGTTTACAATTGTATAAATTATTTTATTAATTTACGCAGTAGTCTTATGGAGAAATTGTCACGGTTCAAATTCGGCTATGCGTTTTATTTGTTTTAAAATAATGACAATTTTGTTCTTAGTTGTATTATTCTTTTATTTTCTAGTATGTATGATACATTATCATTCAGCAACTTTATTTTACATTATTTTTAATACATAATATAGTTTATTGCATGTGCGATTTTTCCAGCAATCATGTTACAATAGGAAAGAACGGGAGTTTGCGTAATTACAGGAGCTCTTTATCATCATCCGTTTAATTACAATACAATATTATACAAACTTGTACAGAGATATAATATTAGGCAGTGGATAACATGTGTACCACGTATTGGCCTACTTTGTGTATGAGTAAAAAGCTGCTCCGTTAAGGACAATACGCTTGTGACGTCGTTAACGTCAATTTTTCAGATATACCGTGCGCCGCATTGCTTTACATGTACATGCCAATGAAAGCATAACTTTGTTCTTTATAAATATTTCTTGTTGGTATTTTCTGTATCATATAGGGGAAAGATTCCGATTTATTGTCCGTGTAATTTTATGTAAATTCATTTATCAGGTAAAAAATTATTTACAAAGTCCGGATAATTTTTGATCATCCCTCGTAACACACATAAATCCCACATTTGATTTATCCACGTTTCATCGATTCACATTTTCAATATGGCGGCTTTTATGAAAATATGAAAAGATCAATGGATTACCGAGTATTACTTCGCCGAATCTAAGTAAATAATGCTTTTACAAAATAATGCAAAAATGATTTTTTCATCAAATTCATGCAGTCCATATTCGAATTCAAGAAGATGAGACCACATAAGTGGTGTATAAATTGAAAATTGGGCAATAAATATCCGAACACTTTTTTTTAACGTATTAGTAAATATTAACTCAGACGCGTACATATTGGGGCTCCAAACGGGAAAACATAAATCGCCAAAATGTTGAAAGTGTACTTAATTTATACATTCCCGAAAATATAGCATAAAATAAAAAGAAAATTTGCTTGTTTTTTGTGAAAGATGAATTTTTATTTCATCTCGTGAGCTTTAAAAACAGTATTCCCACTCGTGGCTTCGCCACTCGTGAGAATACTGTTTTTAAAGCTCACTCGATGAAATAAAATTTCATCTTACACAAAAACAAACAAATATCCTCTATATAATGTTTACATTAGCTGAATAAGATGCTTGCTTTAACTAGAAAAATAGAAAAAGAAATGAAGATTTCAACTTGACAGATTGTAACGAAACTGAATAACAAAATTTTGTTTTTGATTTAAATGGTTTAAATGTTTTATAGATAAAAAAACATTTCTTTTTCATTTTATTTTACAATACAAACTCAAAAAAGATCAAAAGTTGATCAATTTAACGAACAAAATTTTGAAATCATGAATACTTGCATGCCACTTTCTTAATTTTACTATACAGAATTGATATTTATAATTAGTTTAAGTGTTTATAGGAGATACATCTTCATAAAAAAACATATTTTTAATCGTCAGACAAAGTGTTTTTATACCCAAATAATTCAAAATCATATTCATAAACAGAAATTATGTCTTTAAGTAAACTTTTTGGTATATTCCTATATGCCTCTTGCATCATTGTTCGTTTTTGTCCAGATATATCAATTCCCAATGTATTTTGGTATTCTATTGTTCTCAAGACAAGTTCTTGAAAAATCTTTGTTGGGTAATCATAAAATCTTGTCTTTAACAAATATGTTTTCGGAAAAACGTTTTTTCTGTCAATATAACCATTGAATTGAAAAGCTAACCACAGTCTCATAGCAACATCAATTTTGTCGAAACATCGTTGTCCAATTTTTCTTTCTAAATCGAAATTGTATTTAATTAGTGTTATTATTTCAACCTGAACCATATTAGTTTCCGATATATTTCGTTTTAGGGAATCTAAATTAAACTTTGTCAATATATAGTCGACATCCGAGGCAAATGACTCTATTTTACCGATAACATCAAATTGTTCATGACATGGGCTACACACACGATGCAATCTTTCCCAGTGGTTATTCATCTTTCTGACATGTGTCAAACTAATATATTTAAGAAATTCACAAAATGTTATATCATTGACACAATTTTTTCCATAGCTTGTCGCATTTGGTCTTAGTCTCCGCAGAACATGCATAGCGTCTGCTTTCCAAAAATCTGGAAGAAGAAACTTGTCAACATACGCTGACCATAATCTTGAAAATGGATCTCGCGCAAACATAAACGATTTTCCTTTTGACATCAACATCCTCGTAATAGGGTTTTGCACACTCCATGTTTGAAGATTGTTAAATTTACTTTCATGAACATAGTGTCTATCGATGTCAAAGGGTTGCTTGATCGTCATGTTTTCAGGGTAGTCTTTCCCTATATAAATCATGATACGTTTCCAGAATGTACCCCCGGCTTTTGGTACCATGCAAAAATATATATGTTTTCTTTCGTAGGCAAGAACGAATCCACTTTGCCGAAATTTCTGCCAATAACTGTCATTAATATAATATAAACATTTTTCGCGTATCAATGTTAATCTTTTTTTCATAGTCATATCCTGTTTCTGAAATTTCAGACTTATGTTTGTTTTAAATAAATCATGATCTGACACCTTTGCTGATGATATGTGCTGCTTGATGAATGTGTTTGATTTTGTGTCCGCAATCCAATGATTTGATACTTTGCCTGTTTCCTTCAGTAAAGCTGTATCATTTTCCTAAAGGAAAAAGGAAACTTGGGAAAAAGGTATTTAAGATTGTTTAAGCAAAAGTTTTTTTTTATATCATAGCCCTTATTTAATTCGACATGATATCAAATTATGCTGCTAGCCCTCTTACCCCTTACAGCAAACTGAATCAAATATTCTTTAGGATGCCTTGTATATGTTCAAAGAAAGCACCTAATGTATGACTGAAATATATGATGTATTTGGCAAGAATTACGTCACCTTTTGTGAAGCACGATAGTGTTATACATATAGAGGAAGAAATAAAGAAATTCGATACTTACCACCTTATTTTTCAAATTTTTTGATACGTTGAATATTCATCAAAATATTTTCCCAGCTTTATGAGATAAGTCAAAGTATTGAGAAATTAATCCAGGTGTGAAGGTCAGAATAAACTAGTCATTAATAATTATTAATGATCTACATATATTATTAAAAGATACTCATTATAATCATATTAAATAATACAAAGTTTAGCCAAAAAGAAACTTGACGATAGTTCTAAAATTCTTAGCACAAACCTTGACACTAAAGTATCTTCTTTCTCATTGTGAAAGGCAAGTGTACTTATAAAATAGAGAAAAAATAAGAATCCCTAAAGAAAGCCTAACACGGCAAAATTGAAACAGGCTCGGTTTGATTGAGCCTGTTCATGGACGGTACTGTCAAGTGCAAACTACCGTTCACGCCCCCTAGCACCGGCTTAAGCAGAATTCAACATTAAAAAGTACTGGTACAATTTAGAATTTTGAATCATCCGCAGATGTGTTCATATGGCGGTTATCATGGAACCTTCAATGTGACACGTATGTGCCATTCCATGAAAAGCGGCATATGGTCCCCAAGTAAAAAAAATGCGTGTGCCCTAAACGAGAAAACAATGGGCGAAACTAAATAAAATGGAATTTTGAAAGGGGATCAGAGGTTATGAAGCCTGCATATCACAGATAAGACGTCAAAAGACAAATTTAAAAAGCAGGCCACATATCCTAAGGGTGATTCAACAGTATTCAATTGAGGAATACTGGAACCACCCAACACGAAGAATAGCCAAATAGAAATAACTAAAATACCACACGTACAACAATAATGTCGTGCTGAACGATCTTTAAGGATCAGAAATATAACATCTCTGATTGAATATACGGGGCGACTTTTTACAGCCTCCACACGGCACAAACAACGCTGATTTGGCGATAAAATAATAATACGAATTCACAAAATGTACCATTACACATGCATGGAAGTTTTCATCAAGGCTGACTTTGTAGCCCTTGCTTTCTGAGCTGACGTTGGAGTTGGATAATTTGTCAAAACCATAGTGAGAGTCTGTGTAAAGTTTGTTTGCTGTGAGAATGCGCGTAAAGGATCTCCCATTTCTTCTTCCAACGCCTCAAAATATCCCTTTTTCCATTTTTTTACTTATGAGTAACACGGTTTCTTTCATCTTGCTCCGTGAGTAATGAAAACAATGTTTGTTTGATTGGGTTTTACGTCACACCGACACAATATAGGTCATATGGCGAAGTTCCAGGTGGATGGCTTCCTCACATGAAATAATCCAAAGTCCCAGTCGGGATTCGAACCCACATCGATAAGGGGCAAGTGGTTTGAAGTTAACGACCTTAACAACTCACAGACGCTCCGAACAGCAATATAAGCATGAACATTGGCGATAAATTTATATATCGTCGTAAGCAAGCGAAATGTTTGTTCCTATTCTTTGGGAGAAATTGTCCACAATTCTAAAACATCTTCGAAAAAAGAAAACGTTAATGAAGGTAGAAACTTCTTGCCAGAGACTGCAATATCCGCATTTATCAGAAATTGCAAAGTGTCTAATTGTTGCATGCCCATTTTTGTAGTTATTTGATATACTTAGCGTTACTTAAAGTGTCCAGTGCATGACAACTTTTTCGATTCGACGTTAAAGTACATAAATGTAATTTGAGTTTAAGAGAAATACTATCAAAGGAAGGTTGTGAGCAAGCATTAATTTTATACAGCGCCAATGTTGCTATAGAAATGTTGAGATTAGCTTCCACTCAAGCGTTTCCATTTAATTACGTTTTAACTTTTCATTACGTTCGAAACAATAGGTAAATTACCAACCCCTAAAAATTTACTTCGGTAATTAAATGCGTTTCAAATGCAATGCATTTGTTTTATGATTAACTGAAGTGTGATCAAACAATAAGATACTATTAATACATCACTTTATAATGAAACCAATGCTTCAAATATAACCGCACTGACATGTGTATTATGTGTTTTTGTATAAAAAAGTTAATAAGTAAAAGCAATGTATTATTAATGTAAATGCAGGTAAAATATTAGATATCATATATCATATGCAACTAAAGAACTCAAAAAGCAAATATTGAACTGAATCAAGAAAATATTAAAAATGCTGATGCGTGAGACCAATGGCTTACAGATACTCATACTTGTGAAACATTTTAATATAACTTGATTTGTCAGTAGGACTATATCATTTCTCGTCTAAGCCGAACAGAATGTGATTTCGTTTAAATCTGATCATGTGCAAGCTCAAAGCATGCACTAAGTGTACATACTGGCCGATTTGTGCCGTAAACTCCATTTGTCCAATCTTAATAAATGGAAGTGTTTCGCCAAATGACCTGTCGAGTTTGAAATAAACAGGTTTTTGTCCTTCTATAAAGAGCAATTTACAAATTTGTGACGATATTATCATTTTGATAATCATCCATTTCCTCCATGTGTCCACTACTTTAGTCTAACGTATGGAACTAAATTTATCACTTATATGCCTCCACATACTTTGATTGATATCTGAATTAGGGCTGCCATACTTTGGTGCTCTTTATTCAGATCTGGTGAGCAATTTTGATCAAAATGCTCTTTGACGAGGGATTATCAAAACTACCAAGAATTTCTTCATAAATCGAATGAGTTGCATGTTTTCCTCCAATATATTTATGTCTGCTTAAACAATAATGTTTCATCTATATAATTATAAATTATTATTAAATGACATCCAGTGCTATCAAATGACGCATCAAGTAACCATAGAAGCGACACACCTGCGCAGCTATTAAACGCATTGTTTGCTGTGAGTCTTCAAATACAGTAATGTGCCGAATATAAAAAATGTAAAATATTTTGTCAAACGTTTGCAGGAGCCTGATATAAAACTTAACAAAATATCAAGTCAACTTTTCAAGTGGCAAAAAAATTTGTGATATACATTTTGACTTATATCTCGTTGGAAGTATAGATGATTGCTCTTGATGTCGCTGTTGCGCTTAAAAAAAAAGAAAAAAAAGTGTAGTCATGCGCGACCTTGCAGAAATTTTAATTGTTTTTTTTTTGGTGTTGTTTTAAAATCTAATTTTTTTACTGTTTTAACCCCCAAAAATTAATTTTAAATGGGTTTCCAAAATTTAAATTTTTTTTAAAATTTGTTTTCCCAATTGGGCTTTAAATTTCCAGGCCGACGGTTTCATTTGCTTTCTAACCTAGGGTTTATTATTGGTACGTAAACGAAAAAAGCACACATTGTGTTTATTGTGTTTTACTTTTTATTATTATCTTTTAAATCTGATTTAATCACGCGCAACGTTTCTATTTAAGAAATGAAACATATTGTATGACTACATCTTTATGATTCGAAATATTTCTTTTGATTTCTATTTCAATCAATTAAATTTATAGTTTAATAGTCATATGTTTGAGCACACGTATGGTGAGCGACAGTCGGCATTTTTAACGAAAGGACTACTTATGGCATAAGGAGATAACAATTCATCGAAATGGCTTTGAGGCATCATGCTTATATTGCGTCCGCTGCAGCCTCATAAAAACCACTGTTTTCAACATAAGGTAATCACACATTTCTTATAAACATACCTATACACGTTTCTTTCCTGGCAGAAAATAACAATCGTGTATCCACTTCCTTTCATTGCTTATTCAAAGCGTCCATGTTATTATAGGCGTCATCATGGAAGTTTTGATCGAATCTTTCTTACTGACACTTCTTCAGCCGGCCTCTAAATCATTTTCCTCCCAACTTCTTCTTCTTTCATATGACGTGAATGATTTAACACCTGTTAACTTTCCTTTTCATCTCTTATCTCCTTTGATTCTTTATTTCCTTTTCAAGATAGATTGCTTCCTTTGCTCATAAACAGTCAAATTTATTCGTCGTAGTTAATGTTGCATTTAAAAACTATTAAACCAAGAGAAGTTCGCACTATATGCAAATTATACGAGTTTACTTTGTTATTTTGTAATGCATGTGTTATATACGTGTTTCATAATTTTCCGCCAATGCATAGGGGATAAAGCTGTGCATACTGCCTAAGAAACATTTTCTAGACTAAGCACATTGCCTTTTATATAAGTGAATAGAGGCGATCACCACGTTATTTGTTTTTGCATTTACCTATCGAAAATGGCCGGGCTAGCGTATAGCATAAGCATTGAATAACAATAGCATGTATATTTAATATGGTCAGCTTACCGGTTCACATATGTCGTTCAAACGGGGGTGATATAACAAAAAGCTATAATAAAAAGATAGGTAAAAAGAGAACCAAACAAAGATGTCAGTATGTTTTGGAAGTCATTATAATCAACTGCCGTAAGAGTGAGATATACTATAACTATGGAAGCCTTGGAGGGTCACTTTTGAGTTTCGACTTATAGATTTATTTTACTATTTTCTTATGACTTTTGATTTATGACTTTTGATTTATGACTTATGGATTTTGTTATTTCCCACGTGCTTGCCATTATAATTATAAATTTCCAAGGAAAAATAATCTTGGTAGAAATATGACAACGATTCAGACAAGGGTAAGTTCAATTTACCTAAGTTTTTTCCTGGAGAACAAAATATGTGGCTCATTATGCAAAAGAACAGAATGTTATTCTTATATAAGCCTTTTTTTAAATTGATTAAGAAAAGAAAATACTTTGCTTTGCATTGCATTTCATGCCATTGCATTGGGTATCCATTTTTATTTTGGATTTCCCCGGAACAGGGAATATTATTAATCTTCAAATTGAAACATAACAGCGTATGAATCAAAACGCTTTATTTTTATATAAGGTTTGCCAGTTTTTAAAATCCCAAACCAGTCTCGGCATTGTTGTTTGCTTGCAGTTAAACAATCGGTTTTCCACTCTATTTTATCTTCGTCCATCTAATTTATGAAATATAGACCAAATTATAGGCCTTATTTTTGACAAAGAAATTTGTGGTTTAAGAAGTTTCCCATGAAACATGGTTTATTTCAAAAACAATAAAAATCATACAGCTTTGAAACCCTTCACACACTTTGTTTTAAGAACACGCTCTAAATTAGAAATCTCTGAATTGCATTTGTTATCAAATTCGCCTCTTTTTCGGATTTTGTATTTCATTTTGTATTATAATGTATTTTCATTTCAATTTAAGATAACCCAACATACTTTTAATTTTTCAGTTTTAAATTCTAGTAAAACTACCTGTAGAAATTAAGGGACGTTGCTTGTCGAAATGGTTTCAAAACTACAAAGCAGGGTTTGCAAAAAGCACCAGCAAATACAT